TGTCGGCGTCCTCAGAGGCTTTGCTCCCCGTCTCCCTGGTCTGCTGGTCTCCAGCAGACCAGGGAGACGGGCAGCAAACCCCGTTCGTAACTGTGGATCCGACATAAGTCGGATCCGCGTAACTCGGGGACTGCCTGTAACGTAACTTTTTCTATACACGAGTGTTTCACAAAACATCTATCTATAGGGAATCCCTCCTGTCCATGAATTATAATATGCCGTTCGCAAAAACTGATAGTATAGTAGTGGATATTATGACATGTTTGCTTTTTTGTCTTGCAGCTTACTTATAAACCTTACTGATGTAATGAATGATGGAATTGTTGATAAGGTAAAAAAGTTATGGTCTATGTTCATGTGGCACTGGCTACTGTTTATAGTATGGACCTTGCACGTTCAGGGATGATGATTCTGCACACTTGCAGCTTGTTAGTTACTTTAACAATTTTATCATGGGGAAAGAGAAGTATAAGGTGGTTCCTGTTGCTCATAGAACTTGAAATATCCAAAGGAATGGCTCTTCGATTAAACAGGCGATTCCTGCCAGCACAGTACAAACTCAAGTGACTCTGAAGTGCTATTTTGCACTTGTGTTGCATGTGCATAGTGTGTCCTGAATGTATGTTTGTACAAGTGTCTCAATAAATCCTAGTTAAAAATGTCTTAGTATAACTTGTGTCATGGGCAAAAAAACTTTTGCTCTGGAAATCAACCCCGTGCAGATGGCTGCTCCCAGTTTCCAGTGCTTATTGGTATGATTGGTTCTATATGATCGGTACCTAATTTAATATGTTAATGTTTCAAGTCTTTAGTTTCTAAATACACTTCAGTAGGTCAGTTTGTGCCTAAAATTCAAGCTCATAAAGTGCAATTTAAATTGGCACTTGTGCATAATTCACAGTACAGTTGTGACACAGAATGTTTGTTTTCTGCCAGCAGTTCTCAGGTTGTTTTTTAATTCTCTTCACTTAGTGGTTTCCCTTAAGTAAGACTGAAAGTGGACATTTGCATTTAAAGCTGGAGTGGCTTTCATTAGTAACTGACCAAGAAAAACTACATCAGGTGAGTTTTATTTGTTTGATAGATATATAATGTCTGAATAACTTAGTCTGACATTATACTTCAAGGGAGCCTATGAACGAAACTATTAAGTAAATAATCTACCTAGAACTTACATTTGTTTGAAGGAGATTAGATATAAACTTCCCCGAGACCGAATGTGTTTAGAATCAGGAGAGCTCATCTAATTCCTGATTAGGTTAAAATAAGAAAAATGATGCAAACCCTTTCTTAAAAAAAAAAAAGAAAAAAGTAGTACAGTAAAACTCCAATGGTCCGGCATCTGACGGTCCGGCACTCCTGATGGTCCGGCACCATCAGGAACCCGGAAGTGCTCCGGGTAGCCAGACCATTGGAGCTGCTCTGCCCCCAGCTTCCCCTATTCAGCTGCTGCTAAAACTGACAAGCGGCTGAATGGGGAAGCCAGAGGCAGAGCAGCTGGGGGCACTGCCGGGTAGGTCCCTTAGCGCTGCCCCTCGGGGCTGCGGGACCAACCGGGCAGCACCCCAGGTGTCCCCGATTCAGCCGCTGCTGAAACTGACCAGTGGCTGACTCCAGGAAGCCCGAGGCAGAGATGCTCTGCCCCG